CTATACTTTCATTTAATCCAAACTGTGTACATATTTAATTTTAAAGGGCTTTTGAAAACCTAGAGTTATTCAGCCAAGAATAACAACTAAGTTAACTAAAAAAATAAAATAAATAAAAAGCCCAGAACTGCTTTTCTGACTGATATGACACAAACAATGTTAACCATTTGTACACTCTCCAACACGCATATTTTAGATTCACAATTCATTTAAAAGCCTCTGGTGTGTAAAAATAGTAAATAAAATCATGTCCTCCTATTTTTTTTACCCTAATAAAAGTTATAGTCATTAAATAGTTAATAAAGAAACTTCATTCTAATGCTCATTATATTAGCGTTAGCCGTGCTTATGCTAATGATTAACTACTCTAATAACAGCGTTCATTTCAATCAGACATTCAAATTAAAATATTGAGTAATATTCATAACAGAAGCAGTGTTTCCCACAGACAACACTCTATTTGCACTCTATTTGTGGCGGCATATATATGCAAATTCATTCTCTGCCAGCAGGAGGCACTTGTAGAGCGGGAGACATCAGGTTTCCCCAGTACGGCTGTAATCAAATAAGCGCTGCGCTCACAAGCGCTGATATAAAAACACCTGCACCGGGTTTCGACTTTGACACGTGCAGTGCTCATGTTTATTGAACGAAGTCAAAGCCTTTTGGAAAATCTATTTGTGGCGGTCAGTTTTGATATTGTGGCGGGCAGCCACAAATAAATCAATGTATGGGAAACACTGATTTAAATATTAAAAATGAAAATGAAACTTACCTGCTTGAACTCTTTCATTTGATCTGGGTGTCTTTAAAGTGTTTTGTTAGTTTGGTGTGTTTCCTCTTTTTGATGTCGCCACGTCTCAGTGCTTTTATGAAGAGAGCGCATCTGCGCACCTTTCGGATAGTGCATCAAGAACCGGGTTGACCGGGTACTCAGTACCACCGGTACTTAAAAAAAACTGTTTTTCATTTTTTTAGTACCGACTTGGTACCGAAGTACTGGGTCTTTTGACAACACTAGTGCCTAGTTTTTGTTCTCTTTGAGTAAATCATGTGTGAAATGAACACACATAGAGAGAATTATGGGCTTTCCAGTTCCCCTTATTGACCACTTAAAATATTTCATAGAAGTTGGAGCCGTGGCTCCATGTGAGTTCATTCATTCCTCTCTCTTCCAATAATTTCTTGTCTCGCTCCACTATATCTACAGTATAAAGATGTTTTGAAGAAAGTGTGAGTGGTGTTTGCTTATTGCCTCTGTGTTGCTAGAATGTTGTGGGTATTTGCCAGGTTGTTTCTATATGAATGCAAAGGTGTGCTGTTTAAAGGGTTGCAATGCAGTTGCTATAATAGTAGGGCTGGGTAAAAAAAATGATTTCTCGATTTTAATAGATTCTTATAATTACGAAGCGATATCAGTTCTTAAATCCCCAAAATCAATTAGTCCAGCCTGTTTTCAAATAATGAACGGAATATTGTAGCGCACCTCCCATCCAATAAATCGCAATAAGCTTTGTGCTTTGTTACTTTTGATATGAAACAAAGTCTCAGATTTCAGATTTATGACAGTTTTCAAACAATAACGTTTGGCGCTGTTTAATGTTGAGTGGTAGATCGCTGTAGTGCCTCTGTTCAAGAAAAGCAAAGTGCACGTGAACTGATCATCTCCTCCGCTGTTATGTTATGATGTTACAGATTGGAGTAGAAAGATAATTATGTAATTGTAACTTTATTATTATAAAAACTTAATTGAGTGTAATTCAAGCGTTTGTATACAAATCAGTTCATTTTAACCATCAATATTATAGTAATGTAGTACCAAATTACTCTCATTTATATTTTACAGCATTAGTTGAGAGATTTTTTTTTCCTTTAGAAAATTTGGCATGTACCGTACTTGATATATATCCATAATAATTTTGAATTGAATCAGATTCTTTTTTGTGAGTCAGATTCTAATCGAATTGTGAAATTTGTGTAAAAACCTAGTTGTTAGGGTGTTATGAGGTTTGCTCAAAACGTTACAAAGAGGGAGACTTGAGGAACAGGATGAAGGCAGGCCTAAAGACTGTGAGGATGAGCACATCAGTCAGAGGGAGGATGTTCTAGACTAGAGCAAGTGAGAGAGGACAGAAGAAAGGGACAGGGCAGAGGAGGAGGCAGCTGTGGACACAACTGGACCGTATGCTGACTGAACCAGATTTTGGACTTTTAGAGAGCTTGGAGAAAAAGGGATGCTCAGATCTGAGGGACACACATGTTTCTTCTTAAAGATGAAGTGACGAGAACGACCAGTAAGTGTAAGAACCACTGTTAGACTTGTTCAGTGAAATGTTCAGTGTTGTGTTCAGAGGGAGATTTCTGCAGACTGTGAGTGGTTTCTGTTCAGCAAATGTGTAATTTAGCACAAGTATGTGGAGAATCCTGTAAGAAAAGGATATAATTGTCAGATTGTGGTGAGGTCATTTCCTGACCCGTCCGCTTTTATGATGGCTTATTTTGAGAGACGCTTTGTTTTTACTCTTTTTTTTTTCATCTCTTGTGGATCTTTCTCAATGAAATGTGGTGTAAAAGGATCCAGACAAAATGGAAAAAGAGACCAAAAAAAAACCCCACACACAAAGAATCCCATTCTTCATTTTCTTTACTTGCCTCAACTTTAATGTCTTTAAATAACAATATATATATATGTGACCCTGGACCACAAAACCAATCTTAAGTCGCTGGTGATTTTCTCAATATTTAGATTTTTTTGCACCCTCAGATTCCAGATTTTCAAATAGTTGTATCTCGGCCAAATATTGTCCTATCCTAACAAAGCTTTGAGATGGTGTATAAATCTCAATTTCAAAAAATTGACCCTTATGACTGGTTTTGTGGTCCAGGGTCACATATCTACACACACACAATTTTAATGTCATTAAATACATTATATTGCATATGCATTGTTGCAATCACATTGCAATACATGTAATATGTATATATGCATCTATATTAATCATAATAATAATCAGTATTTATGTATTCTCTATGTATTTGCTGTTTTTGCTGTATTGAGGCCAATAGCTAGTAATAATTTTTATGAATAAATCTGAATATGAACTCATGTGATTAAGTCGAAATTGATTAATAAACTGTTGAAGAATCATGTCATTGTTTGTTTTCAGAAATCGAAGCAAAGGAGGCATGTGACTGGCTGAGGGCGGCGGGATTCCCACAGTATGCCCAACTTTATGAGGGTAAGAAATGGGATTTATATATATAAACATACACGCAGACGTCAAACAATCACTCGTTGATTCGTTGGCCTCAACAAATGTCTGCAGTGGGGTTGCAGCTGTGAGGTTAAGTGACGGTAAAAAATCAGGAATGCGGTAGGACGAGAGAGAGAAGAGAGTTGACTGTTGCTTTGAGCTAGAGATCACACCCATCCAATCCCACCTCAGCTGGACGGACCGAAGCCAAGCAGTGATCAGCTGAATTATTCTTGATTTTCCATACGTTTCAGACATATGGAATAAAAAACGCATTTACACAGCTGTGCTCCATTTGTCAGCACATTTTTTTCCTCCCTCTCTTTATCTTTTCTAGTCATTTTAGGGCGAGCTATTTGCAGGCTAGAGTTTCTAT